AAGAACGATGAAGCTGATAGTAGTAAGTCTCGCCAGGGCCATCACGCAACCTACGGCTACACTGCGAATTGCACCCGAGATTCTCAGTCAACTCCTTTCTTCCCCTACCCAAAGAGAAACCCAACAGACAAGCTGACATATGATCTTAAGGAGTCCACGCACCCATCGAGGAAGGAGACCAGGATCACAAGTCTGGCTACCAGATCAAAGAGGACTTGTACCCGAAGCGCCACTGGGACATCGAGGCCTCGATACTGCTGAACATCCAGGTGCTGAGCCCGACGACGTTCCGGCAGGTAACCGGCAGAGACCCGCCGCCGATTCCCAGTGCGTACAAGGAAAAGCACGCATATCTCTTCATGTTCACCCAGGGCAATCAGGACGGGGGCGCCCCGAGCCAATTCCACGAAACGCGTTGGAGGGGTGGTGGTGGTTGTGGTGGTGTTAGGAGGCAGGGGGATGAGCTGCTCGATAGGGGGAGGTTCGCGAGCACTTTCAGGTCCCTAGACGAGCTTGAGGAGGAGCTCAGGGATGAAGTTGGAAGATTGGGAGAGCCGTGATGGTCATGCCGATCACACTTCGTCTTTGGTTATTACCAGGTCAGTCAAGTATGGTGCCAAAAAATTGATGGTTTGATTAATTCCGCAACAGACTGTCCTGGAAAATGATGACGGGAAATAACGGGAAATTGGAACGATAATAGAAAGACAGATAGACCAACTAGGCTCCTGCAATACCAACGGCATCTTGGGATTCTTTGTGTATATGTCATAGATGATTCTGCCGCAGCCTGCCTCGTCTGGATCTCGGTACATGCTGGATCCTAGGGGGGCTAATCCACACTGCCGCCAGGCATGACCACGATGCAGCGGATTCATTTGGGGTGCTTCCACCAAAGACAGTCGTCTAAGGAGTTCCATGCGTAAAAGCATGTGAATTGCTATGGTCCACCGTTAGATATCTCGATAGTGCTGGTGCGACGATGCTAAGACGTTCGAGTCCCGATCGTCGCCCCACCCCCCCCCCCCTTTTCCCTTCTTTCCCTCACTTATACGTAACATCTCCAATCCTGGCCCCCTAGCCTTACCAGTCTGGCCAACAGTCGCACGGAGCTTCCTAGACGCAACGGGGTGTCCCGTCGTCGTCGAGATGAAGAGGTACGGCATCCGCGCAGCAACGTCCGGTCCCGAGCACCATACCTACTGTACATGTCCGACGACAGCTCCAACATCCCCTAACCATCGAATTCCCCAATATCCATGTCCGGATCCTCCTTGCCGTTTCGTCGTCGTATCTTCTTCTGTTGGTCCGCCCCCCACAAGCACCCAGATTTTATATCTGGCGCGCCCATTGCATCGGCGTCTATACAGTAAGTAGACCAAGTATCGTTGTTGTTTACTGCAGGCAACCTGAAACGAAATCCAAGAGTTTACGATGGCAAGATCCACAGAGATGAAGAAAAGGAAAAGTAATGAATAGATTAAAAAACGACATTGTTATACCATATTCCCTACTCTATAAGAACCTAGATCTCAGCCGAAAACATCAAATCCTCCCCCCCTCACTCTTCACTCCCTTCCCAACCCCGAGCTTGTTGCTCTCCTCCAAGCGCGACATCCCTCCTCAGACTCCCCTACTAAACCCTCGGTAAACCTCGACTTTCTCACCCTCCCTCTCCCTCTCCCTCTCCCACCATCATCATCATCATCACTACCACTACCACTACCACTACCACCACCACCACAACCTCCACCCCTTTCTTCCCTTTCCCTTTCCCCTTCCCTCCCCTCCTCCCCGAGCTCACTAGCACAAACCACCTCCCTCAACGGACTTCTGCCGTGCAGAAGTGTCGCCGCCCCCGCGACACCCCTCCCGATCCCGGTCATGGGTCCCCGGTACCCCAGCAGCACCTCATCCGGCAGTCGGTCTAGGGGTGAGTACCGTTCCCGTTCCCAGTCCCAGTCTTCCTCCTCCTCCTCCTCCTCTTCATCTTCCTCTTCTACTCCTACTCCTACTTCTGTTTCTACTTCTTCGTCGTCGTGATCGTCATCGTCATCAGAAGAAGAAGAAGAAGAGAAATACACGATATCGCCGCCCTCCCACGTAAGGTTAACAGAGTCGAGGTCGGAGTTGTTGGGTTCGGTTCGCGGGATCGGTAGGGAGGGAGGGGCCGCGGAGCGTCGGGGAGGTGGGGGTGGTGGTGGTGGTGGACGGGGTGGAGAGGGTGGGAGTCGGTGCTCGTGGGGAATGTACCATTGGGGTAGGAGGAGGGGGTGTGGCTGGGAGTGGGATACAGAGTGGGAGTAGGGGGAGGAGTAGTGGTGAGGGTGAGGATCGTAGGATGATGACGGGTGGAGGGAGAGAGGGTTGAGAGTAGAGGGGGGGCTTCGGGGGTCGGGGTACTGGGTTGAGGGGTGACTGGTGTAGTTGCTGCTACTGCTGTTGCTGTTGCTGTTGCGGTAGATCTGGGCTTGCCACTGCTGGGGAGTCCAGTCCTCGGCGTATACGGGTACATCGGCTCGGCGTAGAGGACGGGAGAGTGATGATGGGTTGACAAAGATGGACTCGTCAAAAGGTTCTTCTTCCTCGAGGTCGTCGGTCGTGCTTGTCGAGTAGAAGGATGATGAGCTCGAGGGAGAGGCGGGGGAGGACCAGTCCTCGGCCGCCTGGCTCTCAGTGGCGATGGCGTCTGACTTAGTCCAGGTGTTTTCGAAAGGAGAGGGCTCGCTGCCGGTAAGCGTGGGAGTGGAAGGGCCCATGGCGCTGCGGCCTTGGGTGCTGGACTGACGGCCGTTGCTCGTATCTGGATAACCCGAGACGGGCCCGGACTGCGGTCTTACACGATCTTCTTCAGCCGTCCCACCACCGCGTAGCTTCAACACTTCCTGTGCCGACGCCGTACATTCCTTCTCATCGTGCATTTCTCGTTCAGGGTGGGATTCTTCGCTGTCGCTGTCTTCGACTGGGGTCATGACACCCTCCTCGTCGGAGCTCGAAGGCGTGTCGATATCAAGCACATCGGTATTCGGTTGAGGTACGCTGCTGATATGCCCTGACGTTTTGTTATCAAGGGAGCCATCGAACGGAGTAGATCCATCGTCGAGGTGAGTTTTAAGTTGGAGCCCGGGCGGCGCGGTGATGGAAGACTCCAACGCCCCTTGTATACCCTCCCCCTCAGCCTCGATGTCCTGGTTTCCGGTGAGCGGTCCAACATGCACAGGCGATGATACACCAGCCTGTGAATCCTCGGGACTAGCGTTCGGAGTCCAGACACCCTTGTAAACATGGTTGATTCCATGAGCCATGTAACCCGTCATGCTTGGCTCTCGAAGAAAGTCTTCCCGAGGACTCTCCTGTCCGCCGGGGTATTCCATTCCGGGACGGTGCTGATTGGTACTGCGAGTCATAGCATTCGCGAAATAGAAGAAAGGTGGCTGAGCCATGGCGCCTTGTTCATATGCACTTCGAGTAGCAACATCACATGAATAGTAGAGTACACTGGGCCATGAGTATGTCGGTGTTGACATACTGGTATGAGGCCAAGAATACGGATTCAGGGGACCAGGTCCGTATTCTGGAGGTTGATAGTAGATTGATGGTTGGAATTGTGCTGAAGGCCGGTAGCTTTGTATCGGTATATTGGCCGTGCTGTTGTTGCTCTGCATGCCCCTTGAATATGCGTGAGCACCAGTTGGGATCTGTGGCATATTGGTCCCGGCCCAAAGCCCGTGAACATACCAACCATATGGCATGTAGGAGGATCCGTCACTACATTGAGAAGTGTATAAGTTGTATTTTCCCGGCAAGTAGTGTTTCTCTATGCTTGGCTGAGTCGTCGAGTGATGACAGTGCTGTGTCCAGCCCGGACCCGTGAAGTGATGATAGATATGTCCAATCTGACTTGTATCGTGGGAAGTCGGGCGGCTCAAAGTAGACGCCAGGTACGGATAGCTGAATGAAGAGTGATGCCCTGATATACCAATGTGTTGGTTATGAGAATGCTGTGGATAAGCGGTTCGTCCAGTTCCCAACCAATTCTGACGCTGGATAGGCACCGGAGAGAGATTCAGAGAGCCCCATACTTGGTTCTGGGGCAGGTACTTATTGGCAACATATATGTGAGGTAATTGCAGGACCCCATCATAGAGATGGATCGGATACACGCCTCGTGTGCGGTTGTTTCCATGAACATCTCGTTGCCCACTTGTTGTAGCGTTATCGGTGTCAAATAACGGCGAAGGCTGACGATTAGACTTGGTAGACCTTTCGCTTCTCCTCCATCGTCCTCGCTTATGCCTCCGTCGGCGAGCTTGAATGCTCAAAAGGGTATGCTCTACCATACTGAGGGAGGGTTCCGGAAAGGGATGATCGAAGAATGGGGGTTGATGCCGGTCGTATAACACACTGAGATGGTGAAGGTGAAGACGGGTGAAGGAGGTCCTTCTCGATTTGTAACGGACACAGTGTACGCTGAAGCTGCATAAGAGGGGGGAAAAGAGGCAGAAGGCAAATGTTCCACACCAGAAAAATCAACTTGACAGTCCTGGCCCAGGATTCGCCTGGCTTTATAGTATTCTGTTGAGTCATTCTGTACAGAGTAACGGGAGAACAAAGGAGGTGACTGACGACCTTGTGTGAATCAGACCTCTCGATACGATTTCAGCAGGGCCTGGTGTAATTGGATGTCACCCGAGTGCCACAACTACCTCCGACTCACCCGGTGTGTATTCTCCTGCAATTTATCATAGCCCCCCGCTTTCTCAGACACCAGACTAGGTCATCTCATCTGGGAGCGGATTCTGCTGGCCACCCGGCGACGACATCACCAAACCCAAAGACCAATGGACCACCAGACACCAAAAGAACGAGAAAAAATCGCAAAAAATGATCTGAAAACTGCAAAACAGTTCGCAAACCCCTCTTTTGGAGGCTACTACATCTGCTGTCAACCTGTAAACAGGAGACTTTAACCCTGAGTTTGCTCAGGGGAAGCGCGCACCCCCTTTGGGAGGGATTCGAACCCCCGTTCTTAACGGGCACGACGCACGTTGAATCCTAACCACTAGACCACCGAAGGCCGCCTTCTTCGAAAGGCAGGTATGAAAAGCCACCCTAAATACCAAGAGTTTCAGCGGAAGGCGAAGGCGCGAGTCCCCTTGATGAGGGGCCGGATGGGAAAGTAAAGTAAAGCAGGAACGGAACTCGGAGTTCGTCCGGGGAGAAGTCGCACAGGATGCGCGCCGTGATAGTGTATATTGGGGACTCGCTTGTCTTAGATTCCAACTAACACCAGTACAAAAAGTACCACGGTTACCTAGGTAGCCTTTGGCAGCAGTCGAAAGCTATTACGATAAGTCAGTATGGTGATAATGGGAGCTGAGGGATTGATTCGTACATGGGAGAGTGATGACTCCAAAGGTGTGCAAGTGCTGGTAGCTATCAGCATGTAAGTAAGTGTGCCAAAAACCAGGCTGCTGGAATTGGTGGGAAGTTATGATGTGTAGATTCAACCACAGAGCTTATTAGTGATGCCTGTAGCATTAGAGTGGTTCTTGTCGCCAAATAGAGCTCTCGGGCCAAAGGCAAGATGCGTGCAGTTGCATTGGTACCAGAAGAAGAAAGCCGAAAAGGAAATACGGGGATATCATTGTCTACAATACCCGTCATGCCAAGTGATACACTGTAAGATTGTGCATATATATACATAAGCACGTATATTATGACAGTTCGTTCAGGTGGGAAAGATACGGCAAAAGGGTTGCTGAAAAAATAGGATAGAGAGTGTGCAAATCCGTGAGAAGAGAAAAAATCGAGAGGGCACACCTGTGATCCGGATCAGACTCGAACCACACCACAAGAAAAAAAAAAAATTCAGGCCTTCGATGCAAGTGTATTACCACTTGACCATCTAGGGTTAATTCAACGAGTGTCGTGCCCGTGCATTTGCTTTCGATAATAAGGCATATATCCCAACTTCATGCTAACGTGGGTGAGGAGGTAACCTACCAGTGACATTCGTTCCATTCGGAGATAAAGTTACGCAAACCGCCTCACCTATGGCTTAGGTGGCACACAAGCGCTGGTACAAACATCCTTTGACTACTTTCCAAGGTTTGCGTACAGCCTCCTTACTGTTCTTTGTTCTCTCGGAGTCGCTAATCTTCGTTGTACCAGCACTTGCGCAGATCAGGGGTCCTTCCATCTCCAGCTCAAGAAGAACTATAGGCGACATTAAACGGCGCCAAAGGTATATGTATTGACCCAAGAAGATTAGAAGCCAAAAAAAAAACAACATATTTTTCCGGTTATCGAGAGAGACTTCTGTGGTGGCGCCCAAAATAATGGATGCAGATGATGGCGCCACAAAGGTAAAATCAGCCACGGCAGGCACGTCAAAAATCTAAGCTTGTGATATTCATGATCCTGCCTGCCTACCTACACAGGGGCAGAGATGCGAAAACCCCACCCGAATGCGACGCGTTCGAGCAAATAGGGGTGGATGGAAGGGCGCACAGGGGCGGGGGGGAGGGGGGGCTTAACTAGATAGGGGTATCTCAGCAAGTGGGTAGGCGGGCCGGCCGACGGCTGTTGGCAGGTGAAATGAATTAGAGGTGCAGGGCAGATGAATAGCTTCCCACACCCCTTTGTCTAAGATCCATTGTTCTAAGATAGCGATCGGGGAGCAGCATAGGTTCAGCGGCTAATATAATAAGCTTTGGTCACTCTGGAAGATGATATGAAATGTATACAAGGTGAATAGACAGCCGCTAAGTGCGCAAGACTTCGGCCACGAAACAAACTGGAAGAGCCTATGATTCACCTACAATCATCTGGTCATGCATGTCATAATCACGGTGGAAATCATTGGTCTCCGTTGACTGGCTTGCACGCTATCATCCGAAGTTGTAGGCACTTTATACCCCAGAATCTTGGCCAAAATGTTCACTAGGAGGGGAGGAAAATGAGCAGCAGATAGAGGACAGGAACTTGTATTCAGAAGTGATATTAGTGTATCGATGTGCAGTAGGATCTGTTAACCAATCTCTTAGGGCAGTTTCCTCCTTTTCCTCCCAAGTTTGATAGGCCGCCTCTGATTGCCTCCTGTTTACTAGCCAGGACAGATTCACTAATGACCTACAGACCCTTCGCTTTGGTCTGCTTCTTGCGTCAAGTCGGTGTCGATGACTACATCGTCTTTGCCTTTGAGATGCATCACAATTGTGACCCCCTGAAGCCCCAGGTCGTCGTCGAAGCCTGTGTTTCCCGCCTGCTTGAGATCCTCCGCCCCTCCCAAAGAAACTCGGGCCGCCAATTCTGCCTTAAGAAGACGAATCTCAGCTGTCAGAGACAGATATCGATCTTTCCAGCTGCAATTATGGTTTGGTGGTGCTAAAGGGGTAGGTCGGTGCAGCTTCGTACCTGACGATCCGCCGATGAATCTGAACGAGTCCTCATGATTTACGTCGGTGTTAGAGACATGACTGTGATTCCCCTTGCTGTCATGGGTTTTGAATAGCATATGTCGCGGCCGCAGAAGTTCAGGACTAGCCTCCATAGTCGTACTTTCTCCAGAAGGCGCGAGGCCTTGCAGCTCGTGAACTCCTTTGAGTAGCTCTGAGAGTTCTTCCTCAGCGCGAAGTGTTGCTTGCCTGTACTCTTCCTGTTCCAATCTAGAGTCATGGCTCGATGTCTCGAGATCCTTATGAGATCTGTGGGTGTTCTTCGTCTCGGATGGGCCACGAGAATACTCTTCATAACGAGCCCTGAACTTATCTATTTGAGATTGAGTCGAGGCTCCCCGTGAATATTTCTCCTCAACGTGACGCGATTGTGTGTGCCGCTCTGGATGGAGGCCTGGAGACGACTCTGCATGATGGGTCTGAGCCGTAAGAGAGGCGCTTTGTGGTGAAAGACCTGAAGCAAATCGATGTTCATGACCGGAGTCGGAGATCTTGCTCGACACGACTCTGGATGCTTCCGGTCTCTGGGATGATCTCTGATGGTGGCCATGTAATCCTTCGTTCCATCCCTCGGCGTTGATACCTGAAGCGAAGCCATGACGATGCTCAACACCGGCATGCCTACTCGATTTGACGTGTCTTAAGGCCCTGGTAGAATCCACCGCTTCCTTGCTTGGGTGTTTCAACCACGGTGGTGGGGTTGAAATCCATCTCGTTGGCGGCGGTTCTTTGATATGCATATGCTCTGTGTGCGTATTCCCTTCTCTCGACATGGAGGTGTTATGAAACCTCTCGTGATGCTGGTCACCCACAGCCTTCCCTTTCTGAACGTTTTCCCTCACGGCGAACCTGCCTCTGGGGTTGTTAACCGATCGTCTTGCGAGACTGGGAACCTCTTCACGGCGCATTGTCTGAGCATCATGGATCGAGTGGGATCTTCCTAAATTGTTGGAACTCATGTCTTGGGTCATTGTCCCTAAGAAACCCGTCGATTTCGCTTGCTTGATTTTCAACTGTTTATATGTCTCGTCACCTGTGGTTCCCGAAACATGGCTAGATTCTGCAGTATGAAAATCAGGAACGGGGTGAGCCGCCGAATGGCCATGCTCATCGTCCGGATGCCCAGGCTGTACAATGTCTTGTCTGTATTTGAATGAAGACACTTCTGTACTCGGCTGGATTTGAGTGTAAGGTTCCCAATGTGGCTCAGGCTCAACTTTCGCCTGGGCAACTGCTACCAACGAATGCGCACTCGCAGCTTGGCTAGGTGTGTTGACTTTTCTTCGGTTTGCAAGACGATCAAAATCTCGACCGGCTGCGATTGCAAGATGTTCGGCAATATGATGAGGGCTGTGAAAGGTCGAGTCATGATGGCGATGAACCACGCTATCGTGGGGTACCTCTGTTAGGGGCAAGGATCTTGACTGCGTTGCGGATTGTTTCTTCACGATAAGTGGTGATATAGGTAGTGGGCGCTCATCCTCAAGAGTACCTCTAGCGTGGTTCTCACTCTCTTCGCTTCGATACCTAGAGCAGGTTGCAGTATGACGGAAAGGAAAATGGCCATCGTGGGTTGCTCTGCACTGAGGATCATCACATTCTGGGATCTTCTCGTGCCGTGCTGTGCTGTGATAGTCACCTGAATCTGCCTCCGTCTTGGTTTTCAAATCAGCAATCACGAAGGGATTCTGTCTCACTGACAAACTCGAAAGGTCGCGCGGATGCTCAAACTGCCCCACGGATGCTGCTGATGGCTCCCCTTGCTCCCCTTGCTCCCCTTGCTCCCCTTGCTCCCCTCGATGTAATCGCTTAGTTATCCGGCCTGACCTCTCTACGTAGTCTCCATCACGGAGTACATGAGATGATTGCTGATGCGATTCCAGTAGAGAATTCGACTGGCTCTTAGTCAAACCTCTGTGGATGACCTCCATGGGATCTGTGGCCAATGTTGACGGCGGGACATATAATGCCCCATTTCGGCTAATGATGGGGCTTGGGTGATGCGAGAAGGTCATATGCGCCCCCTCGACACCCTCGGATACTTCACATTTGCACTTCGGACAAAGTAGGTGCCCACAAGTGGAACAACTTGTTGATGACCAAGTCCTCGCGGAACAGACATGACAAATTCGACAGAATCCTCGAACGCTGCCGGTCCCATCGCCAGAACGAGATAAGTCTCCTTCGTCTGAAAACCAACCAAAAGGTCGAACAATACCATGAAGGTCGAATAAATCACGTAACGATCTTCGGCGCCTGGTATCCGGTGCGTCCGGGGTTGCGGGCATAGGGGTCGTTTTGGGGGGGACAGTTGCTATGGTATGGTAGTTTTCCGTACCCTGGTGCGGCGAATCTGAACGCCTGGCGGAGACCAGAAGCGTTTGCTTCGTGCCGGGAGCGTAAGTAGAGCCGAATGATTCGATGATAGTCTCGGAACTTCTCTCGCGGAGTGGTGGCCTATGACGGACGTGGTCATCGGAATAGCATTGACGAGCTTTTCTCGTTAAGCGAGAGATCTGTCGGTGATGGGGGAAAGAGTCGTCCTTCTTGGTGGTGGTGGTTATGGCATGCTCTTCCGAATAATTTGTTCGACCATGCTTGAGAGCTACGAAGGAAT